ACTTTTGGGACGACAGAAAATAGATGCTTTATACTTTAATTTTTTTTTATACAACTTAGAATGGCAAACAAGCTGACGGCCCACCTGATGGAAAGTAGTAACTGTCGCCTATAGACATGAGCAGTACCATGAACATAACAGAGTATACTGTTTCGCCCATGATACCCCCCCATGCGTTGCCATTCCTGAGGACTCGGGTGTTATTCCTCTGTACCCAGTAAATTCACGCCATATCCCACCCTTCAAACCGAAACACAGCCATGCAAACACAACTGCTTCACGGTTGAAACACGAATGGGACAGAGGTACCCAAGCAATCGATTTTTGTACAAAGTCTCCCTCTGGTTATCATGAGCGAAGCCGCAGTTTGTAGTATTTTAACAATATTCTAACTACGTGTGTTTATACATATAAAAGATTTAAAAATACATTTTATTGTCAGAAAACATACTTCACAATGTTTATGGGTAGGTAGGTACTTCTTAAAATAGGATTATAAAATGTATGATTAAATTCTCCGTTTATTACGTTCGTAAAGAGGATTTACTTGAACGATAAAGTAAAATGTTATATCGCTCTCAGAGTGTCTTGAATGTTTCAGAAAAGACTTACATAATAATTAAGAGTCATATACGGGATTGGTCGTGTTGGTTAGAACAGGGGGCCTACCATGAAATGAATTACATGAAGGGCTAAGAATCTCCCAGCTGGCTTTTGGCCACAACGGAATATCAGTGTTTTGCTCTTTCAAGAGCAAAGCAATAAATTGAGTTGTGACTATTTCGTGTTATTGTGGCACATTTACGAAATAAAAAAATTATGTTACTTCTTTTATGTATTTTTCTTTTTTTTTTTTTGCGTATGTATCTATATCTGTTGTTATTTGTGTGCTGTAAGTAATGTAAATAAATTATATACCTACCTATCTATTAAAATGCTCCCGGAAATTTTAGAACCGAACGGAATACATATTTCAGTACTTGATACATATCGTTTAAAAATATTAAAATATTGTTCCTTTGGACTTTTATAGTACGATTTATGACATTCGAAATGGGAAACTCCATTTACTGGGACAATTTCAGTATGAACGAAAACATAAACTTGAGTTTGAGTATTCGGAATTTAATTTTATGGTAGCCCCCTGCTTTCCGTATCGTATTGAAATAGTATGGAAAATTTTATTAAATTTAAAATATATGTGGTAAAAGTAAAGTTAATTTAGAATGAAGTACACATAATTTTTTTTTATACCCAGGCCCACCTGATGGAAAGTGGTAACCATCGCCTATAGACATGAGCAGTACCATGGACATAACAGAGTATACTGTTTCGCCCATGATACCCCCCATGCGTTGCCATTCCAGAGGACTCAGGTGTTATTCCTCTGTACCCAGTAAATTCACGCCATATCCCATTCTTCAAACCGAAACACAGCCATGCAAACACAATTGCTTCACGGTAAAAACACGAATGGGACAGAGGTACCCAAGCAATCGAGTTTTGTACAAAGTCTCCCTCTGATTAAATTAATATTATTTTAATATTAATTAATTGGTAAATGCTAGGCTTGTAAAATGGTAATAAAAATGTTAGGGCGCGCCAGCTGTGTGCTACTCTGCGGTGGTTTGATCGTACTAATTTGTTTTCAAATAGCACACTATGTTGTCGCATATCAATTATGCATAACATGCAATTAATATACAGGGTGTGCTGTTTGGTTACACAGCTTTGAATATACCCATATGTTTTATATAATTACGATTACATTAGTAATATTTGTTAATATAATTGCCGGTTTTTCAGACCAAAAATTAGAATAACATTAGAATAAGGGAAGCTGAGACCTCAGCACACTTTTATATGAGGAGGGGGAAGGAGTGATTGTTAGTAATGAAGACTAAGGACCCTATTGCTAGCAATATAAATAATTTTTATTCAAGTAAACTTATTAATAAGCAATTTTGAATAGTAATTTTTTGTTAATCTACCGCCTAGTTCTGAATGCAATTTGAACTGAGAAGAATGGGCAAGAAACGAAGCTGTTATGTACATACTTGTAGTAGTAAATCTTGTAAGTTTAGTACCGTTATTGTATTTCCTAGTATTATACATATTCTAGTCGAGAAATTCATGGCTGCTTGTTATTGTAATATATATATATATATATATATATATATATATATATATATATATATATATATATATATATATATATATATATATATATATATATATATATATATATATATATATATATATATATATATATATATATATATATATATATATATATATATATATATATATATATATATATATACCTATATTGGAGGGAAAGGGATTGTTAGTAAGGGGGTCTAATAGCCCCATTGCTAGCAATATATCCTCTCAGGTCGACCTCCACACGGTTCTGCCTAGAAACCAGCATGTTTAATTCTTGTCGAATTCATCATGGTGGGCCAACTGACCTGCATTCATTCTCACCTATCATCGTCCACTGGCGCCTCGTCAGTATACCGATAGCGTGGCTCCTCAAACTATTCGCTATTACACCTGTCTTTCCCACTCTTATTGGCATTGATATAGCTTAGGTTTTTTATAATTTAGTAATTTTGATCTTTAATTCAATGATATTTATTGTTTTTCCATTTCTTTAATTTTTATACACTAGAGAAATAAACGTATACCTAAGATACACACACACACACACACACAAACAGAGAGAGTGGGAGAGTGGGACAGAGGGTTTTTTTATACAACTTAGAATGGCAAACAAGCTGACGGCCCACCTGATGGAAAGTGGTAACCGTCGCCTATAGACATGAGCAGTACCATGGAGTATACTGTTTCACCCATGATACCCCCCATTCGTTGCCATTCCTGAGGACTCAGGTGTTATTCCTCTGTACCCAGTAAATTCACGCCATATCCCACCCTTCAAACCGAAACACAGCCATGCAAACACAGCTGCTTCACGGTTGAAACACGAATGGGACAGAGGTACCCAAGCAATCGACTTTACTGGTGTGTACCACCAGTGAGGAATAACGGATGAGGATGAAAGCAGGACTGTTAATTCATCGTAACGGATTCAACAAGAATTAACTACATCGACCTGATAATGTGTATAGTAAAAGAGATGTTAGATCCCGTTACTTATCCCTTTTCCCCCTGTCATTCTCAATTTGTCTGTGATGAAGAGATACATATTAAATTACAAGAAAGATGATTATTTAGATATGTGTGTATAGCGATAAGTTTATATACATTTGATGTTATTCAGAGATTAAAAACGTGTAGGTAAGGTACTTAATGAATAAATAATTTGTCTAAGTTGTTTACTAACCTTAGCCTTGAATCCATGTCTTGGTTAATGCGAAGTAACGCCGTTAAACATCATTACGTCATATACAGAGAATACAATTTGATAATCAACTTATTTAGTTGCAGTAAATTTCATTTGTTATTGTATGAGATTTATGTATTTCCTTATTTTAAATATTATAAGTATTATGTATGGTCAAGCAATGATACCATTCATTTAGATGTATTAAGTACCGTTTATGTTGTTATATTATATTGTCCAATATCAATGTCTTACTTATGTTGTAACTGTTACTTATTATCCTATATATATATATATATATATATATATATATTATTAATATGTTAGTTTATTATTATTATTATTAAATATAAATAATATCTAATAATAATAATAAATATGCATATAATAATAAGTAATAAAGCAGACTTAAAGATACTGTAAAATAAATTCTTTAACAATAATTGAGCAAACATAGCTATTTGTTTCTCAACTTTATCTGTTAGCAGATCGTAATTAAAGATTTGTATAAATGAATATTTTATCTATTGATATAATATAAATATTTACTTAAATAATTTACTATATAGAATAACTAGATTAAGGGGGTTTCAGAAAATTACTCTAAGGAATTTAATCTTTTGAGTAAAAATAGATATGTGTATATTAACAAGGGCTCTCACTGGACACTGTAAATTAAACAAGCATATGACCCAACTAGCCTTATGCCCAAATAGTGTTTGCAGATTTTGTCACAGTGAGGAAGAAACGTCGCAGCACTTAATGTACGGTTGTAGTCCACTCATATATTAACGATTTATCTCCTTTGTAAAACACACTGTATAACCTGAGGCGATACAAAACGTCGCTACAAAAAAACATGTTGATATTTCTGTCATTGATAGGAATTAGCAGCGAACTTTGAAAAAAAGGCGAGCACAAAAGATAATGAAAAGGTCGTAGTATCACAGGTTTTTCAGCCTGGAAAAGCAAGTCTTTCAATAATAATAATACTAGAATAATTTATTAAAATAAATAGTAATTAGCTTTTAATCTCTGAATGACAAGTAACAGTATTAAATCCCAAGAAATTAAATTTAGTCATTGTTGTTTTAGCACTTAGGTACAATGTTATTATGCACCTTTATCTTACTATATAAGATGGTAGTGACTATGTTAATTTTATATTATCTTTAGTCTACAATGCATTTTGTAGTGTTGGAATTGCTTTTCTAATCTTTCAGTTAAGGAAAAAATATTTTTAAATAGTAATAATAATGAAACAACGAGTGTTTTAGTGAATATTTTTCATCAATTTCATGTAGATTAGTTGAGTTCTCAAGACGCACAAACTAGTAAACTAAATCTCATATTAGTAACATAAATTTGTATTAATTCATTTAATATATAACAATTATTGCCATTATTTGCCGTTATTCGTATTCGGAGTATGAATAGTTGTTGCAATTTAGTTGCCCGCTAACGACATATTTTTCAACTGTATTGGGATGACTGGAAGAGATTCTATCATCAGATATATATATATATATATATATTCTATCAGAGATAAGTCCACGCTTGATCACAATATTTATAAATGTATTAACAATGTAATTTACAAGTATAATAAAGAATATATATACATATATAAAATTTCGCTCGGTTTACTCACGTCTTTTAAAGAGGCTGCAATGAATATCACGTAAACACTCGTCCCTCCAATACAAACTCCAGCCATTGCGTAGTCAACGAAGTGCCTAGAAACGTTTTATATTGTCTTAGATACGTGTTCAATAGCCAACTACAAAAGCGATATAAGTCAAAAAGCTTTGATGTATAACACGCGCTGAAGTTTCTTTGATCAATATGACTGGGTATTTATTATGATATTATTCTTACATATAAATATATGTAAGTCAGACTGGAAATCATCAAAGTTAGGTTTAGGTTTAATAAAATCTGCGGCAATTATTTTATTATATGTTTTTAGCAGACTTTGCCGTAAAGTCCCGGTATGGAATGTATTATCTCTATCTTTCTTGTGGGTGTTGTAAGAGGCGATTAAGGGAACTTAATGGTCGAGGGACGAGAAGCAAGTCTCTCTTAAAAGATTGTCACAAGCCAAACTGAGGTTGCCACACTATTATAATTAGTATCCTAATAGCGAAGTGCAATTGGCTCTTAATATTTAGGGAAACAGTATTCCATAGGAAAATAAACCCGCCTTCTAAACTTAGCAACTATTAGCAAAATCCTGCCAATGGTAAAATGCCATAAGAAAAGGCCCCGTTCCTTTTGGCAGTCTATATCCTAGTTTATGTTCAGCAGTGAACATAACATGGCTGATGTGACAATGATGATTTAGCAGATAAAACTGACTGCTAGAGTACCTCGATAGTTACTACATTCTATCAGTTGGCCGCCAGTTCGTCTGTCTTTCCCATTTACACAAAAACACATTTACATATCTGTTATTACTTCAAACTAAACAGACATCATTATATCTTTTTCTTGAGTTGTGAATTGAAGCTTACGTATTCACAATAATGTAGTCATACAAAAGCTAGGGATTTTTAGTTCTATTCGTATGTCGGGAAAAAATTGTTCTTTTCTGCAGTGATTGATTCAGTAACAGCTGCTGAAAAGATTCAAAACGACTTCTGTATCGTTCGTTGAAACATTTGATGAGCAACCATCAATAACTGTTCGTATTTCGTTGTTTGACAAAGATGTATTCTATATTCTAAAGATAGATGCAGACTTTCTAAATTTATAGATATATTACAATGTACTATGTCTGTATATTCTGAGATCGATTGTTTCAAGAAAAAAAACTTAGTTTCACTAATTATTTTGAGCACATGAATACACACACACGCACACATACTCACGCACGCACGCACGCAACACGTACGCGCACATACGCAAACACTCATGCACGCACAGAGACAGAGAACGAGCGAGCGAGAGAGAAAGATACCATCCACGAAAGCACTCATGCGCGCACGGACGCACGCAATCATCCACGTATGCATGCACGTTTACATTCTCATTACTCTCTTTAAGTTGCCTAAAATTACTTGCCTACCCAATTTACGAGTATCTTAAGTGAATTTCAAATTTCAACTACTTTGATAATAGAAAAGGAACTTTGTACGAACGTATTACGAGTTTTAGTCTGTTTCGATGGAACTTAATAAAAAGTTAACCAAGTTTAGTTGAAATTATCATAGAAACACTCTCAAAGGAAGTTATGTAGTAACAAATCGATTTTTGATACCAGTAGTCACGAGTAGACTGTTTATGGTCGGGTAAATATATCATATAAACTCACTAGAGGGAGACTTTGTACAAAAGACGATTGCTTGGGTACCTCTGTTCCATTCGTGTTTCAACCGTAAGGCAGTTGGTTTTGCATGTTGTGTTTCGGTTTGAAGGGTGGGATATGGCGTGAATTTACTGGGTACAGAGGAATAACACCTGAGTCCTCAGGAATGGCAACGCATGGGGGGTATCATGAGCGAAACAGTATACTTTGTTAATTTCATCATTAATTTAAAATATTAATTCATGATTAATTTAAAATGTTTGCAGGTGAGTGTTACCACATTCTATCGGTTTAATAATAGTTAGTTATTTATTATTAGTAGCATAAAAAAGTATAGGCTGTGTGGTTCCGGCATAGAATAGGCCATCCTTTCCGCGAGGGCGAGAGATAGGCAGCAGCGTCCTTTTTAAAACATCTCCATAGCCTAACTGCGATTGGATTGGCAACCATCCGCCTACCAAGCGTAGCAACTACTGGCAAAATTAGACAGTTAAAGGCTGATATTATAAAAAAGTATACCTGATATGCAATGAATAACGTCTTAATTTCACTGGCCCTTGTTTGAACACTCTCTCGCAGGTGTCAGCGTAATTAAGAAAAGGTGTTTTAATCTCCCGACAGAGATCTCGTGAGGTTGTGACCTAAAAATACAGAATAATGTTAGTGTGAACACCCAAGGTTCACTGGAAGAGATTGCTTAGCGATAAGGCCGCCTTTTGTATAATTTCAATTTAAAATTAAATATATTTACTATTTTATAAATGGTACAATAAAGTGTAAAGTAAATAAATAAATATTAAATTTAAACTATTATTTTTATAAGAATAAATGTTCAGATTTTTTTTATTTAATTAAACCTACCCTCCAAAAATAAGCATAAGTTTGTTTGGTATACAAATTGGGTATCATAATTGGCTAATATATGGTGTAAATATAATATTTTTAATTATTCCAGATTAATATTAAAATAAAATAAAAATAAAATAATCGAGATTCCGGTTAATTCATTAACAATAATTAGATCAGCAGCGTCGGCGTTTTTTTAGTGATTTTTATGGCCGTGGGTTCTAACTCTTAGTAGAATTTATATATTATATATAAATTATATTGCTATACAATTGACATTAGCAGCATAGAATGGGCTACCACTTCTTTTCTCATGGGTGTCATAAGAGGCGACTAAGGGAACTTAATGATCAAAAGATGGGCAGCAGCGATTCTTTTAAAACATCATCAAGAGCGTAAGTGTGGTTCCCAATCCACCTGCCAAGCTTGGCAACTATTGGCAAAATCCGCCAATATAGAGAGGCTTATGTTTAGCAGTGGACAGATGACGACTGATATGGATAGTAAATATATTAGATTTTATTAGTTTAGTTATATTTATACAAAAAAAAAAAATATAAGCTAGATCCATAATCTCCTTTTTTATTTCTACCAGGTGACTCAGAAAGTATTGCGAGAAAAAGTTTTTATGTATGTGAGACTGGCCAGTTATAATTTATTTAAAAATATGATTACTTATAAGTAAAAATAGGTACATTCTAAATTCAAAACTTCCCTCTACATTTTTTGCCAGCTAATTAAAATTACTGTGTCTCATTGAAAAATGGATTTGCGTCGAGAACATTTTCGCGCTATGGTTTTTTACGATTTTAAGTGTCGCCTGACACCGGACGAATCATACGATAGACTTTAAATGGCATTTATGGATGAAGGCCCTTCGAAGGCAATTGTGTATCGTTGGTATAATGAATTTAAGCGCGGTCGACTAACTTTGGAGGATGAAGAAAGAAGTGGTCGCTCTTTGACGGCTGTTACGGAAGAAAACGTGCTAGCAGTGAAAAATTTTAAAGACAATGGACGAGTTATATACCAAAAGATTCAGCTTATACTGCAGATTGGATCAGGAAGCCTTTACGAAATTCTACACGTGCATCTACGGGTGTGGAGAATAGTTTCACGCTGGGTGCCGCACAACCTCACGGATGTTCAGAAGCAGGCAAGGGTGGAATGGTGCAATGATATGATGGATAAATTTGAAGCAGGCTCGTCTCGGCGTGTTTACGACATCATTACAGGTGATGAATGGATGGATCCTGGATTTATCAATACGATCCAGAAACAAAGCGTCAGTCGACGATTTGGGTGTTTCAAAATTAATCAACGCCTACTAAAGTAAAGTGACCTAGAAATGGGGCGAAGATTTTGATCGCAAGCTTTTTCAATTTGACTGGCTACTTGGTGTCAATTCCTTTAAGAATCCAAAGAAGCATTAACGCCGAATGGTATACTACCAAATGCTTGGCAGAAGTTGTGAGCAACAAGCGACCAAACACAGGGCTCCGCGGGTCACTGCTCCACCACGATACTGCCCACACCGTAATCAAAACGAGGGACTCCCTAGACAGCACACCGGTCAAACTCCTAGGTTACCCTCCTTACAGCCCTGACCTAGCACCGTGTGACTTCTTCTTATTCTCAAAAATAAAAAATTTGCTCAAAGTGACTCAAACTCACTGAGTGAGTGAGTGATCAATTTTCGTCGCCAGATGACGCGCTCGATGCGCTTTCAGCGTTCGAGCAGGCTGTAAGCTGCAGTATTTTGAAAACTGGTTCAGACGCATGAAACTTTGTATAGAGACTGGTGGAGAATACTTTGAAAAGATGTAATAAAAATATATTTACCATTTAAAATATATTTTTTTTAGTGTCGCAAAACTTTCTGAGTGTCCCACGTACTAATGATTTAAGGATAGAATGGATAATGACTGTCTTCTTAGAATTAGACCGTATTTCTTAGACTAGGTGATTAGCGTCATTAAGAGAATTAATACTTGTCTCTCTTTATTTTGTTTCCGTTTTAATAATTAACCTAATTGATGTCTATGTATCTATATATTGTATATTGTTTGTTCTTTTTTTAGTTTTGGTTATAGTTTTTTATTTATTTTTCGTTCAGTGTATTGAGTCTCCAATCCGAAAAATGGGTATTGGTGACCCGCACGCATGCTAAAGTTAAATGAGTTAAGGAACTGCCTAAAAATCAATGCTCTTTAGGTACATCTCGCTGGAGGTGTGCATATATAGCAACAGCTGAGGCGGCTCCAGCAACCAGCAAATTGTATAGTTTTTTTTTCTTTTTATTGTTTTTTTTAACTGTTATTGTTGGTAATAAAGACATTACCTATCTATCTATATAGAGTTGTAATCCGAAATGGAAAATTCATTTCTTATCCGAAATATATTATATTTACAGATTAGTCCAATAGAGATTTTATCAAAATCGGTTCGATAGTTTAATTCCAAATAACAGATTTTTTTCACAATTGAAGTCGGCTTTTGTTTTCAGAACATAATTTAATTTTGTAACATTAATTATATTTAATTTTATAATTTAGGTCGACGATAAATATTTTGTTTTTTTTTTTTTATGCAACTTAGAATAGCAAATAAGCTGACGGCCCACCTGATGAAAAGTGGTAACTGTCACCTATGGACATAAGCAGTACCATGGACATGACAGAGTATTCAGTATACTCTACGAAAAATAATAAAAGTTAACTAAAATTAAATTGTGTTTATTTTTATATATGCAATATCGATCCAAAATGAAGGATGATGAAAATTGAACGATATTTCCAGTGTAGGTCGTTCGATATTATCACATATATAAAAAAATACATAGATTTAAAATATAAATAGATGACGCATCTATGTATAATTTACGTGTTAATTTATCGTGTTAAAAGATTCGTAGTTCTTATTTTTATATGAATAGAAAATATGCTTGCTATTATAATCCTCAATGGAGTAGTCTTGCCTTTTTTAAATTTATGTTGAAAAATTTATCGATTAAGATATACAATGCGAAAGTGATATTTTAGCTTTTGGTGATATTTTAAGAGGGACGCTACTGCCCATCTCTCCTTCTTAAGTTTCCTTAGTTGCCTTTTACGATCTTTATTATAACTAAGAATTAATTGAGCCGTAAAAGGGCTATGAAGTAACAGATGAACAAAAACACTCAATTTCATATTTATACTATTAAGATTAACAAGCATTATTATTTTATTTTTTTTATACAACTTTTCTAAGTTGCCATTCTTGGCAAACAAGCTGACGGCCCACCTGATGTAAAGTGGTAACCGTCGCCTATAGACATGAGCAGTACCATGGACATAACAGAGTATACTATTTCGCCCATGATACCTCCCATGCGTTGCCATGCCTGAGCACTCAGGTGTTATTCCTCTGTACCCAGTAAATTCACGCCATATCCCACCCTTCAAACCGAAACACAGCCATACAAACACAACTGCTTCACGGTTGAAATACGGATGGGACAGACAGGACCCTTCCTTTCACCGTCATAAGAGTCAAGTAAGGGAGGGCAAAGGATGGGCAGCAGCGTCCCTCTTAAAACATCTCTAAAAGCTTAACTGCGGTTGCCAACCAAGCGTAGCAACTACTGGAAGAACTCCCCTTATGGGGAAGGCTTATGGCAGTGGACATTTAATGGCTAAAAAAAGAAATATTCGTATTTAAAATAAAAACAAAAAAAAACTTACTAATATGTGAACGCAGTGCGTTGCAATAACTCCGACTAAGACTGTACCAATGCAACCCGGTATTAGGCCGGTATGTTTGAAAGCGGCGGGCATAGCTAGCAACCCTGATCCCAGCGACGACTTCAGTAAATGGAAAAATGAGCCTAACGTTCTGAAAAATAGAGACGATTTTTGTTTATTTGTAACGGAAAATACCAATAGGATAAAAATATTTAATAGCAAAGTTTTCGATTCAATTTGTTTAGTGGACCAATTTGTGATATTGGATTTTTCCGTTGATTTTATCTGACAGAAAAGAAGTATTAGCATTATACAAATTACTTCGAGATGCCTAAAATATATGACTCATTAAAAACTAACCGTCTTATTCATAAAAAGTTCTTCAACCCTTTATAAGCCCTCTATAATAAGGAAATAACGTGATTATAAAAAAAACTGTTAAAATAAAATATAAAATTCAGAAATGCACTATAACTTTGCTATAACTGTTTTATTAAACGTTAGTAAACCTACCATAAACTTGTAATAATAAAAAATATTATTATTATAAATTATTAATCATCTACTGTTTCCAACACAGATAATTGAAATAGTACATTACTGCATCGGCCAGCAACTGAGGCATTGATGGACGAACGTGCAAATGTGGGCCGAGGCGTAGCCAAGGCACACATACGTGAGTCAATCAATGCCTAGTTGTGGCCAAGGCTTGTATAGTACTTTTCTCAAACAATGCGCGGAAATCAAAAACACAATTTTATAATTTTTATATATGCCATAATGTTCCTTTGTTTTTTTTTAATAAACAGCTTTCTATTTGCAAGCCAGTTCGAAATTTAAATAAAACCTTTTATTAGTTACTTCCTTGGTAGGCATGTTTCGAAGTAAAAGGTCAGTCCATTTTTGTAAATTACAGGATAGATATGCGTTTACATAGTAATTTATCTGGCCGCAAAACACGACAGATATGGATTTTCATACAACTTTTGCCGGCCGCTGCCCGCATGTATCTTGGCCAGTACGGCAATTTTGATTTATCTCGAAGAAGATTGTCAAAATAATGCTCACATTTCCAAGCATGTTTGGGAAAAAAATATTTACTTAGTTTATGGTGGCAAGCGTTTTGGTTCGGGGAGGGGGAGAGGAGTCCTGTAATGTATTCTCTCTGTTCAGTACTAGAGTAAAGGCACACGGGTATGCGACCCCGGCTTCCCGAGCTAGTGCAATTTGTAACCAGTACCTCCCCTGCATTTTTTTTTATGCAATTTTTTTCAAGTGGGCCGTCAGCTTGTTTGCCATTCTAAGTAGTATAAAAAAAAAACTCACGATGTCGGATGAGGTATTCTTCTATGCTCGAATGGATTATAATCCTCTCCATCATCATTTTTAATTCCATTATTTAAGGCAACAGTTGAATGCGTCTGTGATATTATTTCACTCGTACATATATGAAGGCTGTGAGTAAAAAAAAAACATGTAATGAATATCAGAAGAATTTAAGAAATAAGGTTGACAGATCAAGTTTGTAATACTGTATTTTGAGAGTTCGTATGAAAGGAGGTGTCAATCGAAATATGAGGGAGGACATATCAACGCTTGAATGGGAAAATGTATTAAATGGCAGTTTGGCAGATGTTGTTATATAGATAGATATGTCTTTAACTTCAGAGTTTTTTCTGTTAATCACTGGTATTGATCTTTCATTTAGTTTTTTTTTTCTCCTAGTATATATATATATATATATATATATATATATATATATATATATATATATATATATATATATATATATATACCAACGACATTGAAGGTGTGCTGCCGGCCTTTTAAAAAGGAATATACTCTTTTCTTGAAGGTTATGATGTCGTATCGGTATTACGAGTATTATTATATATATATAGATATTATATATAGGTCGACTAAGCAGATTTACAGAGTGAAAGTGGAAAGATGCGGATAACTAAGAACTCACTTAATGTAGCTACTTAAAAAAGAAGTACGTGCTTATTTTTATGTTTGTTACCTCATAACTTTTTCATGAAGCGATTTGGATTTTTTATTATTTGAAAGAATATATTTTAAGATTGGTCGTATAAAAATATATCAAAATTGGTTTACATCAAACATCGTCACTACATAGTATAAAACAAAGTCGCTGTCGCTGTCAGTCCGTCCTTATGTATGCTTAAATATTTAAAACTACGCAACGGATTTTGAAGCGTTTTTTTTTAATAGATAGAGTGATTCAAGAGGAAGGTTTATATGTATAATACATGCATAATATTGTAGAGGAACACTGATAAATTTAGAGGTTTCTAATGTGACGTGGTGTAATGTGTACCAGCGCGAAGCCGGGGCGGGACGCTAGTTACTATTATAATATAACAAATGTGAAAGTGAGTTTGTTTTTTAACATATACCATCTTAACGGCTTTACCAATCACTACGAAATTTGGTACCATTTGGGATGAAGAAGAATATAGGATACTTTTTATACCAGTCAATAAATATATCCCGGTGGGGGGAAAGGGATTGTTAGTAATGGGGTCTAACTGCCTCATTGCCAGCAATACACCCGATCAAGTCGACCTCCACGTGGTTCCCCCTGGAAACCATCGTAGGTAATTCCAGTGAAATTCGTCACGATGGGCTAACTGACCTGCTTTCATCGTCACCTATCATCCCTCACTGGTGCCCCGCCTGCGTATACCGATAGCGCAGGCTGGGATACCATTCCATTATCACCCATTAAAAAAAATATTCCGGTCCTGCGAACGAAGTCGCCGGTAAAATCTAATAAAAAATATACAACCGGATCAAACTGGTTCAAAAAAATGGGAGGTTTTCAAAAACCTTCCACTTTTTTTAAGTCGGTTGAAAATTATGATTAATGTCGAATTTTCTGCGAAATTCAAATCTAAATGCATATGACGCAGTTTTAGCTTTAGTTGAATGTATTCCTTTATTTATTGAGGTTTTCCCAAGAGACTACAGCATGGGGTTCTTCAAAAGGGGGGTAAAGAGGTTTCTTCAGGGTCGACAACGTGCGCGTAATACCTCTAGTATTGCAGGCGTTTATAGGCTACGGTAACCGCTTACCATCAGGGGGGCCGTATGCATGTTTGCCACCTCAGTGGTAGAAAAAAAATTATAATTATAATAGTACATGAACTTTGTTTGGTATTTTTTTTTTGGTAAATCGTGTTTTTTGGAAATTATTATATAGATACGAATTACAAACTGATGAATAATATAAATAATATATTTCGATATTATTTTCTTGAACTAATTTCAAACTAAACCTGTGTTTTCATTACCTGAAAACATGGATAAAACGACGTTTTCTAAAAACGAAACCTAGCTATGTAGATCGATTTATTCTAAATTTCATGAAAATCGTTGGAGCCGTTTCTGTGATGTATACATACATATATACAAAATTGCTCGTTTAAAGGTATTAAATATTTATTTAAGTCATAATTTATCTGTTCTCATAAATAATATCACTTGTTACCGTACGGAATCAATAGGATGTAAGTAATGGGAAGTGTATATGTTTTATATGCAAATACGAAGCATATGACTGTTTATAAAGTTGAATATTTACCGTGACAAGGGTGCGGACTTGCCATAGTGATTTGGGACACACTCAATCATAGGAGCTTTGTGTGAAGAATTAGTTTGCGAGTTGTTTCACGATTTACATGAATAAGTAAGTGTATAATATAGTATATGTCATATATGTGTAAGTATATTTGTTATTTATATATATATGTATTCGTTTATATATGTAATTTTAGTATGTATGTATATATAATAACTAGTACCGATAAGCTGGAGAGAAAAACTAACGAATGAGGAAGTCCTGAAAAGAGTGAACGAGAAAAGAACATTAATTAAAATAATAGAGAATAGAAGAGGTATAATGCTGGGCCACCTTATACGACATGACGATTTTTTTAAGAGCATAGTAGAAGGAAAGTATAGAGGGCAAAAGAGGAAGAGAAAGACCGAGGAATAACTACATGGGACAGATAAAGGAAACACAATATCAATTAATAATTGAAGGAGTTATGACTGAGATAAAAAAAATATAAAAAAATACAAACCAATCAATCCATCGATACAAATTTTCATTCGTTCTTAAAAATTAATGGAACGCAAAATAATTATGACAGTACATGAAGCGAATGGTATAAAGATGACCTTTGAAATTCAGTTCGCTCTGCCTACTATTTTGTTATGTGCCTCTACAATACACACGTACTTAGATAAGATATTGGTACCTATGAGAGAATTATTTACATAAAGCTTCAAATTACTACGTCTATTACGTGTGCTCATAGACAAGAAATTGTATAGACGTGAAAAAAACAAGTTTAAGAGGGCCTCAATCAAAATGGATTGTTTGCAGAATTCTCTTACAAACACTATTGTGTTATCTAGGTACATACGTATCTGTTGGAATGTAATGCTGATTCAGTTAAAATATATGTTTATACAGTTAGATGAATGACATTCTCTTATCCCATCTTTTCTTTTTCGATATATGTATAAGGTTGGGCCAGCGGACGCATCCCCACGCGACAGCTGTTCCTCGCGTATAAATAAGTTTGCAAACTCCTACGTGAATCGTATCGTAACATTGTGATGGTCCCCCCTTTGCCTATGTGTCACCCCTTATATAAAATAACTACCTTCTAAACTAACCTACACATGGAAAACCTACAAAGCCTAAGAAAAGCCTACGAAGGCTTAACCTAATGAAATCTATGAAAATCTAATGAAAACCTACCCTAAAGAATGGCCTAACACTCTCAATATAACCCCATACCTATATTGTCTTATACACCCCAAACAACCTATGAATCATATAAACCCTTACAATAAATACATAATATTGAACAGATCTTATAATAGAACACTTGATCATTTGGCCAAATAAATAAATGTGTGATCGTCTAGTAATGTAGGACCCGTTGTGTGTGTAATAACCAAAAGGTTCTTTAATTGGTATATGATAGGAGTTAAAAAATGAAGATGATTGATAAGTCTTTAAGGATTAAGAATAATTAATGAATTATACTCATAATTCATGTAACTAGGAAGTTATGTTAATTTAATAGTAAATTACAGAATAACTGTAATAATAAAAAAAATGGGGGAGCGGTCGGGCCCCTCACACGCCCGGACCAGTGGAAGACTTTCCAACTATCTATAACTCTTCCTCCTAAAAGGTAGGGAAGGGTATTACTATTTATTAATGCACTCTGATGGTAATAAGGGAATGAGTATTCTCAGTTCCAAACCAAACATAAGTACATTTACTTCAACATTACAGTGGCTCCACCAGCCCCACGATGCTTCCAGTATAAATTAGTGTTTGCCAGAGGCAAACGGATCGGAACTGAAATCCCAGGATCACTCCGACACGAGAGCTTACTCATGGGCGATGACCCTTTCAGTCCTATATGGCGACATAGAGATCACCCACTAACAGTACGAAACTGTTTCCCAGCGTCACCCTGTTACGAGCTTACTCAATGGGGGTTTCCCTTCGGCTCCACAAGAGATCAGACCAAGAAGCGAGATCACCCAGACACCAGAACCTACTTTGATGGGACATAACCCTTCGGCCCTATAATGTGACATTAGAGATCACCTGTGAAGACAGTCCGATAGAGATGAAGATTTGTGTGATAGGGGATACCTTCCACACCCTGGAATTGGCCAAGCCATATAATGTTGATAATTGCTATATCATAACATAGCATTGTCAATTTAATATTATTTACTTAATACCAAGAATACTCAAGGTTCAAGTTAAATCTGTTGATTAGGCCGAAGCCTAAAAACGAGTAGTCCAACCCATAGGTCGAGAGCTACTAAAAGTAATGAGTGCTACTGAATGAACTATAAGTCCAGTCAATTATATATAATATTATTGTTGATTAACCACATTGTGAATTAACCAATTATTTATTCAGAGAGATATATCTAAAGGAACTATAAGTCCTTTAAAAGACACTGATTAGTCACAAGTTAACAACGTCTCGTGAAATAACCAGTTGGGTTTTCTATAAGTTTGAGGACACTAAGTCCAACAAGCTATTATTGTGTTGAGAGTAATAGAGATCTTTTGTAATATTTGTAGAGGTTTGATTAATCACATTGTGAAATAATCAGATTAAATAATTATGTAGCTTTATAGAGAGGTCTATAAGTCCTAATTGGTGGTTGTCATAAGTACTGATAAATTACACATTAAAGTGCCAGGTCAATTATTATATATAGGTATATAGGAAGGACAATAAGTCCTATTTGTGTATGTTGTAGTAGTAGAGGCAATATATTGTATAATTATAATGTGAAAGATATAGATTAAATATATATTTGTATAGAAAGGACAGTAAGTCCCATACAATTATTGTAGCTGTACTATAGTTATACTATATCTACTTCCTTTTAGTGTCTTAGTAAAACCTAT